ATCGTAGAATCCTGGAAAGCGTCTTGTTTTGTAGACTGAAGTGCGTTCTTCAAAATCCACTACCAGCTCAATTCGAAATAATGAATAATTAATAAACTTTTCGGTTACAAACGAAATACTAAAAGCCCTAAAAACAAACGACAATGTTTTTGGGGCTCTTCGTATTTTAAGTACAGCATTAAAAGCGTGAATTATTTTGAACTGAGCTAGTGGTGGATTTTGAAGAACGCACTTCAGTCTACAAAACAAGATGCTTTCCAGGATTCTACGATATTCTTTGCGAATATTATAGGATAGACGAAAAGAGGAAAAACGGTGACGCACAGAGATTCCGTTAGCAGAGTTACGCGTTTTTCATGAATAGTAAAAAGAGACATATATCGTACTGAAGATAAGAGATCTCTCGATTATAGGCAAAAAGATCCATTTTGTTCTAAAAAAATAATGAAACATTTTTTTGTCTCTATCGTTCATTTTGACCTCAAGGCATTCATATATTTGTCACTTCAGTGGTTGAGACCTTGAAAACATGTAGGTAAATAAACAATGTTATAAACTAAACTGAACGAAAAATATAGAATAAAGAAAAGCAATGAATTTCGCTCTTATTGTATGTGATAGAGCCTTAGCGTATAGCACATCTTTTTCATTCGCATACAGGAATACAAATGTGACATTAGGTAGCCTATGCTGAAGGAAAGAAAAGGATTTTTTGTGAATTCAGTTCAGTCTTTGTGGATACTTTCATTCGCATGCATGCTCTCGATTTGGAAGGTATTGGTCTCGAATGGTATCGATATACTTTGCTGCCCCTTCCAGCATTTCAAAATTATGTACAGGCGAATATGTAAAGATGAACATCTGATGGAAAATTTTCTTCTTTTATTCTTTAATCAGAAAAACACAAAAAGTTCTCTCATAAGAAATTCTACATAGTATCAGAGTAGAATAAACTGTATATGCATAGGGCCCGAAACATTTTTTACATGAGCGTATCTAGCACATTTTCAACGTGAGTCTGGAGCATTTCTAAATAATTCAACGGCTTTTGCGCAAACGTGAGTCTCGAAAGACTTCGTCAGGAGTGCCGTCTAAATCCCTCGAGACTCCTGTCAAGCACGAGACTTCCAGGATTCCATCAACACTCTCATCAGTGTTTCACATCAAACATTTCTCTACAATATAAAGATAAACGCATTTTTCCGCATATTTTATATTGTACAAATGTTCGCTCAACAAATTCAGTCGTCAAAAGCCTGGATACTTCGTAATTGTCATTTAATTGGATCGTGGTCTTCGATTTTTTTTGGATCTTTTTGCCTATAATCGAGAGATCTCTTATCTTCAGTACGATATACGTCTCTTTTTACTGTTGGCTCCACGAAGGTTGATAATGTTTCCTGTTATTCGAGTAAAAATCGGGAAGAGCAAGTGAAAATGTTTCTTCTATCGTCAAGGAATAAGCGGGAAAAGGAGAAAGACAGATATCTGCTGTCATAGTTTTATTCAGTGATAGAAATTCGCTGAGTTTCACATTCTTCAAGTTCAATTTCTATTCGGTGCATTTGTCGGATATTTCGTACTTCCCATACTGAATATGGCAGTATTAATACTTCTTTTTCACCTGAATATGCGGATATTTTCTCAATATCAAGTGCTGTTTGTTGATTTCGAATAATAAATGTACAAATAACGCGTAATTTAAAATTTGGCTGACAAATAAATCGAAGTGCCACAGCTTCTTCTTTTGTTGTTGATAAAAATGATTTATATAATATACATATACCAACTTTATATTGATTAAAATCATGGTCTGTCATATACATACCACGATATGTTTTGCTGATGAAACGATATTCATTTAAGGGTAACGCCCCTCTGTTTTTGCAAAAAAGTTGTCATTTTCAGCTAAATATAGTCTAATGTAGAGGATATGCTGTACTTACAATACGACCACTTCTAGCTCTCCATGACCTTCCTTGAAAAAATTACAAAGTTTTTAAGGTTTTCCTTCAAAGCCTAGAAAATCTCAATTTTTAGGTTCGTAAATTTTTCTCTCCTTTTCTATACATTTAAACTTTTTCTTTTATATTGCATGATAGAAGAAAGTGTGCAAAATAAGATGTTTTACAGAATTTTTCGATGAGTTTTCTTAGAGATATCAGCATTGCCGTAAATGCCCTGAAAAACAGAGCCCTGTGTACAATAAGTGTTTTTCCCACTATGCGTTTTAATAGTCCCTTCAATTTGCACACATTACGACCTCTCGAAAAAATCGTCCGATCGAGCTTGAAATTTTACCACAGATACTTCAGACCCTATCTCAGGTTCGTTTTTTTAAAAAGTGTTTCGACTTCAACTTTCGGCGTGAGAAGGTTTACAAAATGAAAACCCGGTTTTTTATATCGGATTTTCAGTATTTTTCGGATATCTCGAGAAGGAAAGAATATTTTTCGAAAAGAAAAAAGCGAACCTGATATAGGGTCTGAAGTATCTATGGTAAAATTTTGAGCTCGATCGAACCATATTTTCGAGGGGTCGTAATGTGTGGCAATGAAAACTGGAATTTTTCAGAAAGCCCATAGAACAACACGTCAGAAAATTCTGGCCAAAAATACATCGATTTTCTTTTTCGATGTTCTGTATCTAGTATAAATTAGAACCCGATCCGACATCGGCTTCCCTTGTTTCCAAGAGAGTAAAAAAAGAGGGGAGGTACCCTTAATTTTGGATGATTTATTAATAGTGTAAGAATATAGTTGCGCACACATTGACTTTTTTCATCATTAGAATCGTAATTAAAATGTTCTCGGGATAGTTGAGTATTTAATATTCTATAAAAATCAGGTTTATATGTATATGCTGTTATTATATACTCTCGTATTTTTCGTTTTTGCTCAGAATTAGCAAGAAGTTTTTCAATATACCATCTTTTTATTCGATCAATAAACATAATAAATTCATCATCTGATTCGATTTCATATTTAAGCTCACGTCTGCGCTCGAAGGCACGTCTTTCGTTGTGCTCCTGTGCTATTGTCCATTCTGTGGGTGAAGTATCGGGAAGATGAGATTGATCTTCGGTTTCAGCTGTTTTTTCACATAAAATTCGAACAAGTTGAGTGTGACCATTACGTTCTGCCACGGCCAAAGCTGAATCATTATTCGATTCAATACGATTAATACCAGCAATAGTCATTGTTTCAAGAAGTAGTTGAGCTAATTCAATGTTATTATCCCGATAAGCACAGTAGAAATTACTAAATTCACTCGTTTACAAGAGAACATTTTCAGAATTACTAGTTATTTTTACTGAGTTTTTATCACAAAAATATCAACCACGTTTAATAGGCTTTGATACATTTGTCGCTAAATTAATCTGTGCTCCTAATACAAAATTAATCTCATATATTTCTGATCGTCCTGGAATCCTCATTTTCACACTACTCCAGTCTGCCCCTGCACAATATCTTTTATAATAACGTTCAATCCTATCCTGTACAGCTGAATCATACTCACACCAAATATATTTTTCATCTAAATAAGACCAAGAAGAACTCTTAGTACTTCTGATTTCTGCGCGTTTTCTCTCAATTCGACGTCTTCGTTTATTTATTTTGCTTATTTGTTCACTATTCCTAAAATTAATCTCGTACGTTCGGGGCTGATCATCCGAGAAACGTATTAATGGAGGTGTGATACATACTACTCCAGCTGTATGAAGTCGATATTTATCATAATTGTGCTCAAGAAATGAATTTATACGGTCATCATAAGGAATCAAACAGTGATGATCATCTGTCCAATGCCAGCGATAAGGTGCTTTCCATAAACTAACTATATCGGTAGTGAAATTATCTGGTATTATCTGGCTGAATATAGGAGCTGGAATATTCGTCTCTTTACCATAGGTAACAATACTCACTGCAATAGCGAATGTATGAGACCAATCAACAGGATTATTCATTAGATAGGAGGAGCCAGGAATTTTTTTTAAACGTTCACATTTTAATAACCATACAACAATCATTTTATTTGGATTTTCATCTTTTGAATAAGCTCTAGAAATTGCTGCTGATAAACCAAAATATTCACCTGGTCCATGTAATTGTACATATCTTAGTTTTGGATTAAAACTGTTGAAACAAATTGAATCGAGAGCTGTTTCACTCGTTGCATGATAAGCAAAAATGCCGTTAGCAATTGAAATACTTTTAATATTTGAAATAAGTATAGCATTTAGAAAACGTTCAAAACCTGGACAACCTCGTTTCAAATAAGGATTTGGATAAATCCTCTGTATAGGTGGTAGATCTATTGACCAATCTTCTCTAATAAACTTTTCTCCAGCTGACAGAACCTGTTCAACAAATGAACCTTGCATTGTTATTGATCGAATATAATCAGAACAACTTTTACCTTCATGTTCTTCTTGATCAGTTACTTTACAATTGACACAAACCATATGATTACATGTTGAACAACTGTAATATCCTGCATTTTTCTCTATTAGACCTGAACAACCCTCATACAAGCAGAACGTCCGTTTTTCATTTTGATCACTCTCAAGATAATATTGCAATGATTTTTTGCATAACTGTTCAAATTCATTAATGTTATAAATTATTTTCTCTAAATCTTTAATATGAATATGATCATTGCATTTTCGACATTTAATCGGAAAAATTGAATCAATATTTCCTATTATACATTTACAGTAGTGATGACCACAAATCAGGAATGATTCAGTAGAAGAATTTTCAGTATGGCAAAAATCGCAGGTAAATTTTGTCAGAGATGAACCTAATTCTTCAAGTAAATTGTTTACTTCGTGAACACAAAGTGCTACTTGAGCTACATTAGATCCATAAACTCGGATTTGTTTCGTTGTGTATAAATATGTAATAGAACAATTGTTTTCTGACCATTTTTTCTGTAATTCAACAAGTTTTTCATTACCAGCTCGATTTTTACGCAGTATATTAGAAGTAGCTAGATCAACTGGAATTAAATGAAAACGTTTATCAAATTCTACAGAATACTCTCCGAGAAATCTTATCAGTTCACCTTGTTTCTCATGTCGACCGTATACTACAATTTCAATAAAATTATGACTTCTATTTAGCAGTTTATATTGTAAATCCAACTGTTTAGTCCACCAACCAAACACCGGCTTATCATACACTTCTTGTAATAAGTAAAATTGTCTTTCGCTTGACGATTCAAGTTTTAATGGTGACATTACATGAAGAAGTTGATCAACAGCCTGTGCTGTTTCCTTTGGACCACCATTTTCAAATATAACGTGTGATGTGTTTTCAATTCGATATGCTAGTTCCACTTTTTCACATATTTTCTCTAACAATTCCTCAAAATTATTAAATAACTCACGATGAGTTACAATAATATTAGAATATCCATTTAAACGCCATGATGAATCAGAGAGTTGGGTTCGAAAAGCATCTATAGCCTCTTGAAAAGTTTCATATGTCAACAAAAATTTCTCAAAGCCCTCTGTATCATCTTTTGGATCGGAATCAACGTGGACATAATTCACCTTCAATATACCCACTGCTTCATCTCTTTTAGAGATGTGTGAAAATGAAATAATAGCGGTTCTCTCATTTTGTAAAAGTTCAAATTTTGTATTATTATCAATGAGATCACTTGCACACACTCTAAATAATTGGCGAAGTGAATCGATAGTTTGATCTACTGGAAAATTTTTGATAAATAGTTTATAACTCCCTTTATTACTGTATAAATGTTGAATATTTTTGCACTTTTGTAGCGTTTGTTCCACTTTGTATCTTGTCACATTTTTTGGTGTTACTAGGCAGAGTTGTCTCTTGTATATGGGTTGAGGTTGTAAATATGACTTCAGGTAGACACTTGCTCTTCTAAGAGCCTCTTCAGATGTGAATACTAGAGATGTCTCTTCTTGGAAATGGTACTCCGATATATCCTCAAAACTAAGATTAAGTGAAATTATCCATTGTTGAAAATCTTTTTCTGACTTTGGTGGAATATTGTACAGAATGAGATGATATTTTTCATGAACATCATCCAATGTGACTACATTCAAACCACTTTTGAACGTTGCTGTTATTCTTCCATTAGCTAGCGTTTTTTTCCGACCGTCACTGAGTAACTGTTGATGAATTTCTGAGCATATTCTGGACATTAACCGATGAATTTCTGCTTTATCTCTTGTTCTTCCATGAATTACAAGGCGATTTTGTAAATTAATATACTCGTACACAGACCATTTTAAATAATCTTCAAGTTTAAAATAGTCGTCAAATACACACTTGATACGATTATTAAATTCACTACCGACATTTTCTGTTGAATACACTGGAACAATTTCCTCCCCTTCCTTCAACGACGGGGGTCCGGATAAAGGATGAAGACGTTCCACTATACAATCATTAAATGGAAGTATTGTAATAGTCATACTAATAAATGTATGAAATGGCTGAGATCTAATTCGTTGAAGAAAAGCCGAAGTATCTGAAATGCGAGCTCGCGTATTACTGTAAATCAATCGAACACCATGATCAGGTAAATGAGGTACAAGAACATGACCGATTTGTTCGGGAAATGCTTGACTTAAACATTCACCAATCACATCGAAATCACTTTTAGTATGTTGAATATTTCTTGTTCGTCCTCTGCCAATTATTTCAATAGTAGAATCGTAAGTTTTCTTAATTATTTCCAATAATTTATTATTTAATCCTTTTTTTAAACTGAACTCAACTCCACATGATCGACAACTACCATCATTAATAGTTTTTTGTTTACAACCAACACAATTTCGTGCTTCTTTCCATGATTTATACACCTCATTTAAATACATCAAATCACTATCATATTCAATAGCTCCACTTGCAATACGTGCTTTTACTTCATTTCTATCTTGGCTACCGAAATAAAAAATACTACCAGGTGCCGATAGAATAGCTGCTATAGTCGTAGCCAGATATAATCTGTTATACTTTTCATCTGCATCAAGAATGAATGAACTTAGACGTGGATCAAAACAAAGTTTTGTGAATAATTTTCCACGTTCTGTAATACGAAAACGGTTATTAATGCATTTCAGTTTCTTAATAATAATAATGAATCGTGTAATGCACTGTCACTTGGGGTTGTAACATAATAAAACTTAAGTGGATCCTGATCTAATCTAATCAGTTGAAGAACAATCTGATCTAGTGATAAACGAAGTATTTCTGGCTCAATATTATCACGTACAAGTTCTTCGTCTGAGAATAAACGAATACAATGACCTGTTGATGTACGTCCTGCTCTTCCACGACGTTGTTCAGCTGATGATTTTGAAATGCGAACTAATTCTATAACGTTTAATCGACGAAGAACATCAAAATGTGCTTCTTTTGCCAAACCACTATCAATAATCAATCGAACATTGGGCACAGTCAATGAAGTTTCAGCTACATTTGTACAAAAGACAATCATTCTCTCTTTTGAATTATACTGTAATACTTTATCCTGTTCTTCTGGAGATAAAGATCCATAAAGGGGTAAAGCTATACAATTATGGGGTATACTCTTTTTAAACTCTCTGATTGCTAACTCAATTTCTCTTTGACCCGATAGAAATACTAGTGTATGCCCTTCCTTATATGTGTTTATAGTTTTCAGAACTAAAGGTATTAAATGATTTCGAATCAACTCGTCTTCTTTCAACTCTAATGATGCAGGAATATTCTCCGAAGTAACTAAATGTGGTTTTCCAGGTACGGTCAGAAACTGAGTTTTCTCATCACAATTAAAAAATTTCAAAAAAATTTCATGTTTAATAGTGGCTGAAGCAATTACTACATGAAAATCATCTGGTCGTCGCTGACAAATTAATTTAGCTATACCCAAAACAATATCCGTATTTAATGAGCGTTCATGAGCTTCATCAATAATTAAAACAGTGACATCATTTAAATTATCTTCTTGTGTCTTACGTATAACAGCTGAATCAGTCATAAACATTATTTTCTTACCAAGAATACCGTTTTGACGGCCTCCTACTTGATATCCAACTGACATACCGATATTGCCACCATCATATTCATGAGCCACACATTTAGCTATTGAAATGGCAGCCATTACTCGCGGTTGTGTACAAACTATGAGACCATTGAACATTTCAGCTGCATATTGTGAGAGCTGAGTCGTTTTACCACTACCAGTTTCGGCTGTGATTACTAGTATTTTATATTGTTTTAGTCGTCTAACAAACTCATCTTTTATTTTTAGTATAGGTAATGTAGCTGTTTGTCTGTCATTATCTGATTCTTTTGGAATTTTCTGAGTATAATCCTCTACATTGATTGAAGATAAGTGATTGTCTTGTATAATTCGTTCATATTTGCAATTAATTATACGACCGTTAGGTAGAGAAGTAGCTTTTTCAATAATACGGGATACTAATTGACGCGCATAATTTTCGTCTTTAATATCGACAATAAACGCATGCCATACATCGTAATTCTGACGACGAGGGAGTTTACAACAGACGTCTGGAGGAATATGAAACGTATCTGACAAGTAGTAAATATCAATATTTGGTGGTAACCCGGTTATTTTGATACGATAAGTCTGATGTGTATTATTCATTTTTTATTGAGTCAGCTCGGCAGAGACGGTTAAAGCCTTTTTCTAGAACGACTGACTCTTTAGAGATCTAAAATGATTATCAACATGCCATGATTTAAAGTAACCGATAATGGAAAAATGGAACTTTCTATCACAACTTTTGTAGATTCTGAAATAAATACACGCGAATTAAATGTTTTTAAATTTTATATTTCTGATAGTTATACGGGATTTTTCTCCGTAAAGAATATCTGAATAATCTAAGTTCTATTTTGAAAATAACAGATTAGTAAGTCTTGAGTGTAGTTCTGCATGATTTCTCCTCAACAAAATTTATGAAAGAATAACGCTTGTTAGCCGCCGCTTTGTGGAAATAATTCTTCTGGATTTTTTCTTTGTTTAACCCGTGAGTTATAAAGATACAGCATGAACTTACGAAAAAGTTTTAAGTTGAGAATTTTTAATAGTTAACCAAAACTGACAGCTAGTGATTATTTCAAAACACAAATTTTTGCTAATAATAATAAATAATCTCAGATATGTTATAAGTCAATGAAAACCGAAACCTTATTTTATTTCTTCCAACTACATTTCAGATAAGACACATCAGAGAGAGTGAAAAAAGTAAAAGTAAAGACTCACAATGTAAATCAATGAGTTTGTTATGTGTATTGTGAATATTTGTTTAAGATTATTGGTGAAAAACAAAAAAGAAAAAATTCACGATGCAAAAATATTGAGTTTGTGAGTAACATAAAGTTTTTTTTTCTCGTCTAAGACAGCTCAGAGAGAGTGAAAAAAGTAAAAGTAAAAAATTCACAATGCAAATATATAAGTTTGTGTGTTTCGATGGTGACTTGGAATGTGATACTTTTATTGCATAAAAAGTGAGTTCCGGTGGAGAAAATTGAGAATTGCGGAAACAATTTCGATTTTTTCGAACAAAGTTTTCAAAGCCATTTTATGTCGTTTATATCACAACGGGCTCCAGGATTATTATACTTTTCGCGGCGAAAACCTGTTTTCTGAGAAGAACCGAAGTGACAGTCGGCAAAAGTTAGCTTTTACCATCACTTGGGCTGTCACAATTTACTGAGATAGTAAAAAAAGTCCATACGACAGTTTGTTTTTTACGGTTTCAGAACTGAAACGGTACAATAGCAGCGCAAATCGCTCATATTTTGCATTCGATCAGACTGACGGTTTTCTGTTTAATCAAAAAATAATTATTTCAACTAGCTGAGTTTTTTCCTCGTTTCGTAATGGTGTACTTCATGTAAATTTTACTACATACCATTAGTGTTTTCATATTTTCTTTCTTGTTCTTTAGAATACAGGACTTTTAGTTATATTACTCACGTTAAGGAACTTTTTTGATTTCTTCTTTTAGATGGAATTACTTTGCCGAAGGCGCAATACATTCAGACTTCCCACATCATTTCAGTTTTCGCTTAATTATACATCAATCGATAGAGCTCGATGAACTGATCAAGAACATCTACGTTTTAGCTTAAAAAATTGGTTTCTGAATGAAAAATCTTCGAAATACTAG